CCCCTGGGGGGCGGGGCGGGGGGGGCCTCCCCCAGCCGCGCCTGATTGGATGAGCTGGGGACAAGCTTCACCCCTTGCCCCCAGCACGTGGCTGGGGGAGATGCAGCATGGCCCGCGCCCTGCCCGCATGCGTGGTGGACGGAGACATGAGGTAAGTTCCTGCGCGGAGCTGGGGGCGCCTCAGGGCCGGCTGGGGCAGACGGAGGCACGGGGTAAGTTCCCATGCAGAGCTGGGGGTGCCTCGGGGCTGGGTAAGGGGGGTGTGTGTGTGTGTGTGCACGCACGCGCTTCCTAGCACATCCCAATAGCTGCTTTGGCTCTGTCTGCTGCAACGCACGTGTGCACATTTCCAGACCCATTTCATTGTCACTTCCTGCAACTTTATTGGTGTCAAAAGTCACGTGACATCACTTCCTGATGTGATGTCACTTCCTGTGAGGTCTTTGAATATGGCTCGCCAGCCCACCGGGTGATAAAATGTTCGTGATCCTGCCCCACATTCAAAAAGGTTGGACACCCCTGGCAAAGGAGTACTGATGCCCATTTAATTTATGGCACGGGAATACTGACAGCCCAGGAGTGGACCAGGTTTTTCAGCAGCGGCAGGCAGGGGCTCCAAGGTGCAATCCTGTGTACTCTGGGGAATACCCAGGCAGGATTGGGACTCTCAACTCCTGAGTGTGCCCGCCCAGATTTTCTTGCTTACCAAGATGGATCTCTGGAAATCTCTAGGACCAGGGAAATCCCTGTAAGCAAGGAAAGCTAGGCAGGTGGTCCCAGGGCTAAAAAGGTCCGATTCCTTCACAGGAATTCCTGGAGTGCACAGGACCAGGCCCCTCACGAACTGGGAGAACATGTCACCCACTGTCTCATAGCAGTGATGGGCAGAACAACAAACAATGCGTTTCATCTGATGAGGCAAACCAGCAGTGTTGGGATAAACTATGGTGGGATATATCTGCTTCATTTGGCAACCTTTATTTCTGTCCCTTCAAGAGGCTAGATGTTTTCAAGTCATCTACGCTATATGAGATGCATTTTCATCTTATACTACACAAGGAACTGGCTAAAGTAACTGCAGAGTAATGTGCTGAGTAATATCCTTACTGCGAGCAGTGATGTCATGTGGTGTAATGTAACAACTATGAAAGCTGGTCACCATGTGTCTTGTGCAAAGATTCAAGGAGTTGCATATTAACTTCTGAAGAGCCACATGTGGCTCTGGAATTACGGATTGGCTACCCCTGCTCTAGAATATTACAGTCGTCAGTGAAAGTCCATCTGGGAGGCAACCCTAATCTGGTTTGGTACTGGAGTGACATCTGCGGACACTGAATTCATCAGTAAAGGATTCACGTTTCCAACAATTAGAGCTAAAAAAGCAAATTTGTAAGAGCTAGACTGTAACCTGATCACCAGCTGGGATTATTCCACTTCTCTAGTAGTTTATGAAAACCCAGTTGGCTTGTGCTATAAACTGAAATGAAGGAAAAAATGCATCCAAATGTTCTGTTATTTTCTACAGTATAATTTATGTGCATAATAATTCTATAGTTAGTATTATGTATGTATGTGTAAAAACAAAACACTTTCAGGGAACTGATTAATCTTTTTTTCTAGGTCTTGTTTAATCTTCCCTCTTCTAACTAAACCAGCAGGCAAGATAAGATACAACTCTTCACATACACAGTTCAGTTAGGTAAGAATATCATCACATAGACCAGTTAGACTCATTGAGCAAAGTTTCATGAATAGTTGGAACTGTCAAAAGCAGCACCTTTCTTCTGTTCAAATAAGCAGAAGCAACAGCATATCGGACTGCCATCAGCATAGCTCTGTAGATCAGTCATCTGAGACCACGCTTAGAGCAGCAAGCTGTATGCTTACCATCTCCCAGAATAAGTGTCACCTTCATGATATCTGATTATATATGACTAGGAATAGCAGGATAGTTACTCCCAGACATACATGCATACTGCATAGTAACATGACAGCTAGACTATCCTTCTCTGCTTCTAAAAAAAAAAAAAAAAGGCAAAACTTACTGAATATAAACTAGATAAATATTAAGGGAACTTCCATTCTGAAAACCTGGAGAACATGAAGTCATTAGTCAAAAGTGACCGGCAAGTCTTATTGCCACGCTCAGACGCACATTATAAATAGGAAAAAAGACTCCTAAATGTATGACATCAGACATTTTTGATATAGGAATATAGCACAGCAAACATTAGGATGATTAAGTACTTTGGAGGAAAAAAAATCAGGGATAATATGCATTAAAACTATGATCTTACTAAGATGTATGCTCAAGAGAGCAACAAAATATATACATGTCAAAGCAATGATAGGACTCAACCTTTACACATGCTAAATTGAGATAGAGTTAGTGTAAACCCGCAGTAATAAAAATAGACTTCGTTTGCCTAAAGAAGACTGCACCAATAAGAATCCCCTTTCTTATAGCTTCTAAGTAGAAAGACGGTAGCATATGTAGTAATATATTTGTGTAGAGTAAATGTCTGTCAAAGACAGAAAAAGGATTATTTAAATGTAGACAAGAAACTTGCTGGCAATAATATTAAGAACTAGACTAAGAAAATAGTGATTTAAAGGATTCTACCATATTTACACCTCTCCCTGTTTTCTGATTCACCATGTTCTATCTACAGCTTTTTAAAGAATGAAGTAAAATACAGATACAATACATAGGGATGACTAGTCTTGGGGAGTGCCTCTCACCCTGTGGACATAGTACACACTGGAGAGTATGCATTCTGAAACCCTCACTACAGCAGTTCATAGAATAGCATACAAAAAGAGGAGAGGCTGTTCATAAGTGATTTCAAAAAATCCCATCTGTTCTTTTATGAGTTGACTAAGCCCCATAGAGAAGTGTTGGTGGCTTAGAGGAGACATTGAAGGGAAATAAACTAAAATTAAAATCAAGTGATAGGTTTCCTATTAAAAGAATAACTTTCATAAAGGAATATACATTTCTACCCCTAACACATTAGCTGAGCAACAGCTTCTTAGTAGTTATTCAAATGATATGAAGAGGCTATTGAAATTACATAAAAACAATAGTGCAGAATATCTGCTGTTAAGTTTTACTTTTCTGTGAGGCTACTTACGTCATCCTCTTTGGTTCCACCCCAGAAATTAGTCCCACCAGCATAACTTGGGATGTTTAGCACAGCTATGCCTTGAAGACTGGGGAGGGGGATGTACTGTCCATCACACTGTAATGTATAAAAGGCTTTGTGAGATAAATGACTTGATAAAATAATCAGCTGTTTATAATACACAAGAGTTCCAAATGGTGCTGGCAAGAGAATATAAAGTCATTAGTAGCTCTACATAACTATTTTAGTGACCTTTATATAAATCTACTTCCCACACCGAAGAGCAGTTCCAACATGTACTTATTATTGCCATCCTAAGCAAGCTTTCTTTTTTTTTTTCTTTTCTTTTTTTTTTTTTTTTTGCAAACCTGAATGGGCATATATCTGCAGCAGACTCTTCAGTAGTCAGAAGGTAACTCTCTCTATCCCTGTTCATGTTTTTGTGTTAAGCACCAGTCTCCATCAACTAACAATGAGAGCATTTTTTGCATCTTCTTCTGAAGCATGTGATGCTGATTGCTGTCTCTGAGAGGATACCAGATCCAGTATGTGATAGTAGGGTGGGCACATGGGGAACATGCCCTGGGTGTCACCGATGGTGAGGGGGGAGGAAGGGGCACCTCACTCTCCCCTTGGCTTGCACTTCCTGAGTACACATTTAGTGATGTGGGCAATGTGTGTCATGGAGTGCAAGGTGTTCTGGGAATTATAACTTTATAGAGTGGGGTTCACTACTGCGGAGGGTAGAATTAATCCCATTTTTTGCCACCATGGGCTTTGGCAGCAAAAAAATTGGGTGAATGTTCCCCCCAACAGCAAACTCCATTGCCACTGTAGATAACTACAATTCCCAGAGCACCTTGCACTTCATGATGAACACAGCTCCTGATGTTGTGTTCTGCTGCTCCTGCATATCATCTAACAGGGGAAGGATGAGAGGTGATTGCCCTGGGGATGTTACGCCTCAGCAGTCCCCTATTCTATGCTTTCCAGTAGGCTGATTCACATTTGAACATTGACATGGACAAAGATTTTTCCAGTATTTTAATCATTAATGGAACGTTAAAGTGCTCCTGACGGTTGGTATTGTTGAAAGAGCATTAAAAAGTTAACTTAAAATGAGAAATCATTTGAGGAATAGGTTTATAAAAAATTATAAAACATTAGTGAACATGTAAAATGTATTTTTTAAATTTAACAAGAAAGAACATGTAAAGAAGGAGAGACTATTTTCTTGGCCAATTGACTATACTGTAGTATTTATTCCATTTGTTAAGCAAATAATGACAGAAGCTATCACCAGGCACTTATTTGTTAAACTTGGGATAAAGACTAGTTGGCAGCTTTATACATCAGAATCAAGAGAGACAAGTTTGCTAAATAAAATGAGGAACAGTACTTCACTGAGATTTCGCTAGACACTACAGAAGTCATAAGTCATCCATTTGATAAATAGAATCCCAGCTCACTGATGTATTCAGTGTTACCAAAGTGCTATTATTTAAGTAGCATCCAATTTCTGTTACGTGAGAAGACTGGATTCTACACTAAAGAGCTTTATAATATAACCAGATGGAAACAGATAAGGTTGCAGGGGAAGGAATCAGTACATTAGAGCAAAAGCAGTAAAGTTAATCAAAATTTTGTTCGCAATTACATACGTGGTTTATATGTCACTACAGTAAATCAACATCTGACCTAGTGCAGACATGGGCATGAAGTGCTCACTCCCAACTACTATCCTATGTTATAAAGGGAATTTCCACATAATTTTCCCTGCATTTACATTTTCCCCTTCCATGGCATTCAGGGATCTTACAGCTAACAGCTGGTCAGAAGATGCACAGAAAATTCCAAACTTGGGACAGGTGGACAGTATTTTTATACTTGTATGGCTTCTTCTGCCTCCTTCTCCTCTTATCTTAGTGACTAAAGCTTCCCGATACATGGAGACAAGGGCATGTGGCTTCAACTGCCACCTCACATCTTTTTCTCCTTGACTTCCTCCTTCCCACTGCTCACCGCCTCCCTCCTTCCCACTGCTCACCCCTCTTCACCACCTCTGAAAAAACAGAAGCAATTCTAATAGCTTCTAAAAAATGACACTGAAATTGCTGCTTGATACTGATCTCACACTGGTTTACAATCAGAGTAAACCTCCAGACTTCAGTGGAATTACTACGAATGGAAAATCAAGACATAGGACTGAGAGTCAAGAGTCTTGGATTAAGTTCCCAGGTCTACCACAGACTTCCAGGCTAGTTCTAGAATCACTTAATTTTCTCTCTCACATTCTGCACATGTATATTGACAATACTTTCAACAATGTGTCAGTCACATATTTAAAAGCACTAGTAATTGGGAGGACTTTCATGCTAAATTCTAGGACACAAGGTATAAAGGATAGCAAACATTCACCTTTAAACCACCCTGCTTGATTACTGAGGTTTCTGATTACTCAGAAGTATTGATAAATGAGAAATTAGAAAATTTGGTTTCATTACTCAAAAAATGATAAATAAGAAATATTGAAAATACAGTTTTGTAAAGTAAGTAGAAGATATGGAATTTATTTTTAAAATGTCCCAAAACCTACTAGAAATATCCTTAGTATTAAAAGTGAATCCTATTTTACCTGAGTGGAAAGCCAAAACTTAACATTTTTATCAAAATATAGCAAGATTAGAAAATATAGAAATACCACTTGTAAATTACAGCATAAAAGTATTTGTTTTCAAGACAAATGTAATTCTATTTCACTTTTCAGCACTGCACTTAATCACAGCACAGAGCACAGCAGTGATCATTAGGCAAAACAATACTATGAAACTTCCAGTGGCTGGTTTCCTTTCAAAAATACTCAGAAATCATTATGAAAAGGTCAGATTTGAATGCTAAAATATGTCTTATTCAAAAGAAATATTACATTTGTAGGTCCTTAAATTAGAACTCTCTGAAGCATACCTAATGTTCTTTCCCATCATTATCTTCACTAACTAAAGCATAATTCTCAGATAATTACTGAATCCTTAGCTAATGGCAATCTGCTTCAATAATACAAAACCCTTCTAAAACTTACTCAAGAGAAAAAGCATTACAATAAATCAAAATCTTTCAATTTAAGAGACATCTTTATGAAAATAATACAAACTTCTAAATAAAATATTTAGCACAATCTATAGGAAAACTAAGTGTATTGTCTGTGCCCATAAAACTCTGGATGAAAACATATAAATTTTCTAAATGCATGTTATGGATGATCTCTCGCTACCTCTGAAGTTGCTTAGCATGTGCATCTCCTTCTAGCTACTTGTATTATGGAGAAGGCTTACAACTGACATTAGAACTAGAATAGGAAATAGCCAGATTCAAATGATTTGTACATATAACTTTGCGGTTATGTCAAACCACAATATCTTGCTTCCTCTAACTGGTTAACTTGATACTGGAATCAGTAGAGTTTCTCAAAGTTCTGGGACTACAAGTTGTAGGTTCAGCTGTATCCATCCTTTATCCTGAACTCCTTTCTATCCATCCATCTTTACTACTACTTTTGAATCTTAGACTCCTGTCAGTGTTTCCAAAACGGAAATAGCCAAGAAAAATAGATACCTTAGCTCATATTGTTTAGCTATACAAAAAACTAGATAAAATAATCAAAATTCTTCTGAAACGTTAAGCATCTATGGTTTGGAAAATCTCAGAACTCTCACAGGGTATGGACACACACAATTTAACTGTTCCCAGAACATCGTCCATTTGGGAACTGGTTCACTAACGTCACGGTTTAGAGGTGCCCATTTGTACACTGCCAAGTGTCTGAAGTAGAAATGTCATTTTCAAGTACTGCAGTGCTGTCAAATGGCCAGCAGGGGGTGGGAATGAGTCACTAACCTAGCATACATGGCAGTGGCAAATGCCCAGGAGTTTCCCCAGTATCTCCTGAGTGGAGAAGGAAGACCCCAATTGATTAGTGTGAGGTTGCTGGACCCCTTCCAGGCTTCCCTTAACAGGGAGATAGGTATTCTGGGGCCTGCCCTAGGTCTCTGCATCAGACTGCAGCTTTAAAAAAAAGACTTTCCCTAGGAAGTACCTTAATTTCAATTCACCTACTCCCTCCAGCTGTGAGGTTGCTGGGTGGTGGTTGCACTTTTAATGACAAACACGTATCAACTGCTGGGTGTGGGAAAACTGAACCACTGTACAACAGGAGCTTATTACCACAGACTGGCTTGGTCCACTGTTAATTGTAGGTGTGAACACACATAACACTTAGATGGGGGCAGGGGCACCCTCCCCACCCACCTGAGCAGTACTAGAGCAGCCAGTTACCATACAGAGGTTGGGGTGGGGGGCAGCTGAAGAATGGTGCAGTGAGGAAGGCATGGAGGACTGACCAGACACTACTCACAGAAAGCTTGGTGTCTACATACAACACCAAACCAGGTAGAGAGAAATGGTTCAAAATAATACCTACATATTTACTCGAATATAAAACAAGCCCTCCCATTCTCCACTCAAATGAGCATGGGGGGAAAAGCTCCTCGTCTTACAATCACATACAAGGAAACCTCATTAAATGCACTGTATAGCCTTAAATTGCTGCCAAAAGCAGCATATGCTCAGTAATGGAAATTGACTATGAAGCTGATTAAAATACAGCCAACACTGAGCATGACTATAAAACACAGGACCCACGTTAGACAAGCATACTAATGGGAAGCTACAACAAGCCTCAGTTAATAAATCCCATCCAAATAAGTTATATGGCATTGCTCACTGTGCTCAGCCCCCCTCAGTGCCAACTCTTTTTCAAGTCATGGTGAGCCACTATGTTGAATACATTTTTACTTCCCTTTCACTCCCACAGCTGAGCTGTGATTTTCTGTCCCATTTTCAATTATTCCTTTTTCTTTACCTGCCTTAAATGTCTGGCAAACATCACCAAACTGTCGGCCCCTCTCTCATCCTGGAGTATATGATTAGTGTAGCCCTAGCCTCCATGAAGTGAAGCTGGACTGGGTTGCTCTGCACTTCATCTACATATAAAGTTTTGGGACATCCCAGACTAATGATAAAAACATCCAGTTCCAGTCATGAATAGGTGGCTAATTACTACATGAATCCTTTGTAGGTATTCTGTGTAGGATGGTATATCTGGAGTACACACACATACTGAGCAGTGCTGAGCTATGGGATTGTCATGGCTTGAAACACTGTTGACTCTGCTGAGCCCAGCCCAGTGAACTATATGGTAAAATCATGAGCCTTTTGGCTTTGGACTAATATCATATATAGTTTGTACTCTACCTGAGGAGGTACAAAATGTTGCTTAAAAGTATATTTGTGGAATACCTGTGCTAAAACTTGCATCAGTCTTAAAAAAAAGAGAGAAAGAAAGAAAGAAAATGCATCAATTCATCCTTCAGTATTTTCAAATTTGCTCCTTATTTTTCCAAGTGCTCAGAGACAGCAGGGTTTGACAGGAAGAGAAGGGGAAAGGGGGAAGAAGTTGGGGGGTGGAAAGAGGGCAAGGGAGTCACCTGACTGCCTCCCCACTATTTATTTTCCCTGGTGTAGTAGAGGGAGGGAGACAAATCCAAGGCAACCCTCCAATAATTAGATTCTATACTTGGAAAATTATAAATGTATTAATTTTCCATATATAGAATCTAAGTATTGCGGTGGTAGTCTTATATTTAGCATTGTCTTACATTTGAGTAAATGCAGTAATTACCCAGGTATACTTTTGAAGTGTTCCAGCAGGTCTATAGTGTTCTAAACTGACTTGTACATCTGGGCACTTAGTCTAGACCATATTTTAAAATGTCTAAGTGTTACGTGTGTTCACATCCACAGATTCAGCTTGGATTAACCTAGCATCTACCATGTTTCACACAATTTATTTATGAGAAGTAAATTTTAACAGTTGCATGAACTTGGCATGAAAAAAGTGACATTTCTAGGTCAGAGCTGATCAGTGGGTAGCCTGAGAGCTACATGCAGCCTTCAAGGAGTTAACATGTAGCCTGTGGGCTCCTATGTAGCCACTTCTCCTCTCATTGCTCCTGCTGTTATAGTGTTCAGGGGCTTTGGACTCCTTTCTCATTTGCTTTCTTCTTCCTTTCCTGCTCCTGGGAGCAAGGTGGTGTAGTCAGAGGGAGGCCAAAAGGAGTCTGTGCTACTTGTGCACTGTGCAAAGCCAGGGGAGCAGGACTGAACCATATGCATGGCAGGAAGCAGGGCCGAACTACATGCAGTGAGAGGGCAGCTGGCTGCTTGCATGGCAGGGAGGACCACATGACTGCTGCCCCCATAGTGTGTGGCCCAATGGTGTGCAGTCCAGAGTGTGCACGGTCCCCCACCACCTGGAAGTTAGAGAGACCTGTTCTAGATGATCCACACTGCTCTGTACTGTGTTTTAATAACCAAACTAGACCAAAGCTGTAAAAAATAAATAAATATTTTTTACCTCAAGTTGAACTTTTTGTTCTAAGTTCTTATAGGTCCTTTGCAGTAATTCTTTTGTACCAAGTACACCATACCACATCATATTCTTTGTCCGGCTTCTGGAAATAAGGAATAAAAATTCATGTACTGAAACGTGATTTGTGATGTACATGCATGTT